GATTAAGACGCTTATGATTCCTTGAACAACGTTATAGTTAAAAGGTGGAGAATTGTTATATATTATAATCATCCTGTTAGTGAGGATTCATTCTTCTGTTTCATGACAGATGATAGTGATAATATGTTTATAAATACGTCATGTTAATAATTCAATTTTCAAAATGAAGATTATTCAATACACAATAGAATCCAAAGAAGGAAATGAAAGATGTACGGAAATCGAAGAAGTAGGGGAACCAAAGGAGGAAGGAACACAAAGAAGAATGGAAAGCAAGGAAGGAAACTGAAGGAGAAAGTGAACCAAAGAATAAGGAAGGAATCCTGGAAGGAAGAAGATGTCTCCTACGCACACAAGTTGTTTTATTCGAAGTGCAATAAATTCTGATTTGACAGATGTCCAATTACAATAATTCATCGCCCCGCGTGACAGTCGAACTCACAACTTCTGGGTTAGATGCTCAACGCTCTGCCGATTGAGCTAACGGGACAACCGTCAATCAATCGGCACGAAGGTCGAGTTCTCACACACAAGAGGCGACAGAATTCCTCCAATTTCCGAAGTAACTCGAAATCAATATGGAGCATCGCTGGCAGGATGGTACTATTCAATCTTCATTTTACCCCGTTCGTTCTCTGGCATTGTCTTTCCTTGTATAAGAGAATGTCCGCAAGCATTTGCAATTGGAGTTTCTTCATTTTCCGTTGTAACTCGAAATTGAGGCTTTCCATCATCTTCATTATTATATTATGCATCTTTTTGGTCGAGTAACCGACAAACATTATGACCCACTCCTATGTATAGTTTGCTTGCGGATATTTCAGTATACAAGGAAAGACAATGCCCGAGGGCGAACGACAGGGAAAAATGGAGACTGTATAATACCTGCCAGCGATGCATCATAGTACATGGTTTCGAGTGACTTCGAAAATTAGAGGGATTCTGCCGCCTGGTGTTTGATGAGAACTCGACCTTCCTGCCGATTGATCGACGGATGTCCCGTTGGCTCAATTGGCAGAGCGTTGGGCATGTAACCAAGAAGTTGTGAGTTCGACTCACGCGCGGGGCGGGAGTTTTTCGATTTATTGTTGTCACTCGAAATTAGGACTTTCCATCATCTGTCAAAACAACTGTCAAAAAAACATTACAAAATCAATGATCTGAGACCACTCTGCACCATTTCGAGGTTCGTACTCACAGTACAACTATCTGCAAGAGGATGCAAAAATAAAAAAATTGCAGAGTGTGCAGTATAAATTCACTCAAGGTCGGAAGACTAATCTACACCTGATATTGTCTGTGAATTGATTGCACTTCACAAATCATCAAAAAAATGTATAAGGCGTAATTTGAATAGTAAACGTTGGGAGTGGCTTTCCAGGGGTAGTTTGAAAGAAGATGACTTTGGCACAACTTCTCCAAAGTCATATATGAGTTTGACAGAAGTGAACATTTTTTAATTTTTTCTCAAGCATTATATTACTGAAATATTGGCTGAATATAAAAAGATCTGGGATACCCGGTATAGGATGGCTCAATCCCTACACTGTAATGTGAACATCTAGAAGAAAACGGGATGATATCAGCTAAGGTCCATATATGGATCCATCCAAGCCTGTCAGGACATTCAAATCGAACCGGCAACGTCGTATTTGCACCTGGTAGACTTGCACATTTGCCCTGTGTGAACATAGTTTTCAGAAAGTATGTCATCAGAGGTAATTCGAATGGTGAAGGAGCTGATACGCTATTTCAATTTTTTTCCGATATTTCAACTTTACGAACGATATATCAGTGCCTTTATAGGAAAAACTTTCGATGATAATCTATTCCGAAATTCCACTTGGGCCTTGAGTATTGCTTTACATAAAATATGAAGACCACAGGGGAGAAAGGGGGAATGTCACAATATATTAGAAATTGACTTGACACCGCCATCTGATAGACTAACCACTATATTTTAGTATAAACAGAAGTCCATAGCAATAACGCAGCATAGTCAGCTAAAATGCTCGTTCGAAAATACGTTCACATGGAAAAAACGCGGAATATCCACTTAGAAAATGTGAAGAAAGGGAAACGACATTTCCCATTTCTCCGTTGAATCTTTGGATTTATTTATTGTTTTCGATGATTTTTCCATTCAAATAAGATTTTTATTTCTAGTTGTAATTGCTGATTATACTCCATCAAATGAATCCATTAGGTTTGATCTCAGTTTCCTCTAACTTCGAAAAAGTAAGGAGGTTTTAAGCTTTGAAATGCATTTTTCTCGAAGTTTACTTTCTGTGACATTCTTCCTTTTTCCCCTATGGTCTTGATATGAGAAATGGCCTACTCGATCAGGTGACTTTCGCTACATGTCGAAGACGCATTTTTTTCAAATTGATCGACGGGAATAGACTTATTTGTTTGAATTGCAAACACTTTCAATGAGAAAAGTTGTTTTTCTTTCGATTCTACACATATTATGTCTCGAATTTGAACATCTTATTGCAACTTTGAGTTCTTGATATTTTTTCAATTTCTTCGAGTTTCGTAATATTGCAGAAAACTCTAACGGCACCGAAACTATTTCATATCATTTGCTTCAGTATGCTACTAACTTTCAATCACTTGTCTTATCATCGTTAAAAATATGATATTCTTTAGGAAATAATATTCCCGCTCCAATGTCAAAGACGTTTCATAGCTAGACCAGTAGCAATCATATTTTAGAATGATTTGTTCTGTTAAACTTTTTTTGGTGAAATTAGAACGTAAAATGAGATTTTTTTACAGAGGACGACGAAAAAATCCATTAAAATAATTTTGCTTCCAAATGCTTAAGTACCTATACATCAACTTTTCATCAAGGTAACATACATTTGACGCGGGAATCAAGATTAGGAATTATTCTCTGAAGAAAATCATATTTCTTTCAATAATTAGTATACTTAATTGAAAGTTAGTAGTATGATAATGTTACTGGTATATGGAACAGTTTTTTCGTAATAAGTTTTTTTCAATATTACAGAAATTGAAAAATATCAACTGAATGTTCATGAGATAGGACGCCACTGGAGTTACTTACTGAATTTATACAATTATTCAATGGTGAACAAATATTCCTATAGAAATAATACAGTGTGTTCCAGCTGAAACTAGTTACCCCCCTTATTCCCAAACTCGTTAAAAAATTTGAAATCTCTCGGAAGGGGTTCAACTGTCGATTTTCAAATGGAACACCCTGTATTTCATTTCATGATCGGTTAGTGTTTATGATAACAAATCCAATTATACTAAGATTGATGGGGTTTTCTCAAGAGGCTACGGAAATATTACTGATTGATTTTTCAACATGCTCCATGACCCAGATAGCACATAATATTCCATTATATTCTGTGAATGTTATACAGGAATGATCATAGAATGTATTGTTCGAATATTCTAGGTATGTTCTCCGTGTATGTATTGATGTTTTTTCTCACATACAGAAGACAGTGATAAATAAACACGCTGTAAAGAGACATGATTTCATATTTTATGAAGATGGGTTTACAAGTTTGTTGATATTCCAGTCCCAACATCTTTCGAATGCTTTTTTTGTGTCACAAATATTATAGTTTCATCGACTGAGTAACCCCATAAAATGCTATTATAACACAAGTGACTAGTATACTAGACTATAGTATACATTAGTTATTGCACTGGTTGAGCATGGAATGTCTCCTATTCTAGATTTTTTTTATCGCTTGGAGCGCACGAAAGGATATCCCTATAATGTTCAAAGAACATCGTGCGTTCCTAGGGAGGATAGGGATAGGAGGTAGGTATTGGATTTTGTTTGAACTTCTGGAGATTTTATGTTGTTGGGAATACTTCCTCAGGCAATGAATTCCAGAGCCTAGCTGTTCTATGGATGAAGGAGTTTGATAAAGTGCTGTTCGACATCTTTCGAGGTTGACAACGAAAGGATGTGCTGACTGGGCTTGTCTAGTTCCTCTGACTGGTATTGCTAGTGAAGGGGTGATATAGCAGAGATTTCCGAAGAACATTTTCCGTGGTCGCCGACCTTTCTACGGTGTTCCAATGATGTCATAGAGTGAGTGAGTGTGGCGTCACCCACCAGGCAGATGGCTCTTCTCTGAATGGAATCTAAGAGCATCAGCGTATGTTTTGATGCTGAACTTGATCTATCCATAGAAGATTAGAGTCAATATTTGAACCCAAGAAATTTGTTGTTGCAACTGATTCAACCATTGTTTGGTTCTCAAAGTTTATAGTAAGAGTACGTGAGTTGTTAACTATATTATGGAGATGAAAATATACGCATTCTGTCTTCTCAACAATCACCATCAAACAGTTGGACTTCATGAAGGTTCGTATAGTATCCTTGATAGATGACATGAGTTCCTCTGAGGTATTTGCTGAGACTCCCAATGATGTATCGTCCGCATATGGTTGCATCAAGGTGTGATTTAAAATTTTTTGGTGAGTCATTTATAAAGAGTAGAAATATCATATGCTTCCACACATCATGATATTCGTGAAGCATCCATGATCTGTTACCTATATGGTATTTGTATCAATTTTGAACTGTAACAGTTTTTACCCTGATTGTCACTTCTGGAAAATACAGTTATGGATATATTTTCCTCCTATATCGATCTCTGAAATATTTTCCATGGGCTTTGAGATATCCTGTATACTGAAAATATTCCTAGATCATTCTGAGGATTTTCTATATCATATTCATAGAATGTTCTGGGAATGTTCTGAAAAATATTCGCATGTTCTTGAAATATTCTCAGAACTTTCAGTGCACCTTGTGAGAACATTCTGAGAATATTCGAAATGTTCCACGGGAATATTCTAAAAACGTTTTAAGAATCACTTTGTGCTGTCTGGGGGGTGTGACGGATTTCTGCTGGCGGAGTTACCGTTTCAATCCGACCTCTGCACCCCACAATTATTTTCTAGTAGCACACCAATGATACATATTTTTATTACTTTTCCAGAATATCTGAGAACCAAAGACTATAATATTTTCACTGTCGACTGGAGTCCTTTGAACCAAGCGCCCTGCTATTTGGGTGCCTTGGTGAACATTAGGCATGTTGGGGCTTGTTGTGCCCAGTTTGTGCAAAGACTTCGAGAAACAGGAGCGAAAGATATTCATGTCATTGGATTCAGTCTAGGTAAGTCGAAAAAAATAGTATATTTGAGACTCTGGAAATTAATAAAGCGGTCAAAAATTCTAACCTCAACTGCCTCAATGAACAAACTCAATTTGATAGTCTCAAATTATTTAACTCCTTGTTATTTTAACTACAATTTTTGTTCTGTGTGCTATGTCACTTCGAATCAAAACATTCCTTAGTTTTGACTTAACGGGTGTCATTCTGATGTTGTGTTTTGTCCTCAGCGTCATTGTCATCAATTGTCATTTGTCGATTGTCATTTGTGATTAGTTAACCTAATTCAACAAATCCAGGTCCACATGTTGGTTCATTTTGATAATTGAATTGTTTCACTTTATCTTGAAAAACTAAGCTCTTATTATTGAGCTTGAAATAACGGTTCCCCAACATTTGCTCACTCGCACAATGCGCGGTTGAAAACTCATTTTTCTTCATGTTTTGTATTAAGTAAACTTTTTTTACCAATAATGGTAGGTACATAAAGATTCCTTAATCAATACTTATAACTACCTAACATAAGCATTGTTTCTTCTTACAGATTTTCATTTGCTGATAATGAAGGATTAATCCTTCGAAACATGTCCTTACTTATGTCCATGACCGTTGGTCATTATTGAAATTTTTTATGTGGTGGAGTCACACTGTAAGTTCTTTCACCCCTCCTGATTTATATCACCTCCACTGTAAGTTATGGATTACCTACTTTGGTTAAATAGTATATTGTTGATTTCTCACGAGTATATGAAGTTTGCAGCATGAGCCGTAGGCGATTCTTTTTATTAAATCGCTAATGGAATTTCGCAATTTGAACTGAACATGATGAACATGATAAAAATGAAAAAAAAACATTGATTCGCATTCTTTATCTGATGAAAATATTGATCATTATACATTATATTATTTATCCAATTTGAAAGAGAATGTCTGGTCATAATGCTTCAACCACTTTCTATAATCTATTCATACTTGGTAGAAATATTCCACTCATATTGAACATCAGAAAAAAATAAGAATCGAGATCAGAATCCAGGTCCGTTTTGGGGAAAAACAGAAAACTTTTTCATTTCAAAAACAACACTCTATATGACAAAATATTGTTAATCTGTTTCGATATCCAGAAAGAGCGAGAAAAAATGAATAGAGTGACCTACCTTTCACGAGCGCGCATCCAATTCGACAGATGGTTCATTATTATATTTTGAAATAGGTATTCAGCTCTTTTTCACGTGGCATTTTTATTGAATTCGAAATTCAAAATAAAATCTTGATACTAAAAATAACAGTCTCCAAAGTTCAACATCATTATAGTCAAATTAAGTGAACGATCGATAGATTTTGTTCGTTTGACAAAATAAATTGTCTACGATTCTAGAAATATTCGAGGACTCATTTTATTCATCACAATTTATTCCTAAGCTGCGGTACAGTAGGCTGTGCAAACAAATTTCAAATTCTGACAGTTTATAATCACTCGTGTGATATTATTGTTATATAACGTTAAGGTTATTTGTTCATAATTATGAACACAATGAAATGTAACAACCCAATACAAGCACCAACAATTATCTGAACGTTACCAATAATATCACAGTAGTGATCATGAACTGTCATAATATCAGATTTTTTTGCACTATCTACTTTACCGCTCATGAATTAATAGTAAAAATCAAAGTCAAGATATTCTGCCAAACGATCAAATCTATCGATAGTATACCTAATTTGACTCTCATGATGTTGAACTTTGAAGACTGTTATTTTTATGTAAAAAAAATGGATTTTGAATTAAGATTTCAATGAGAATGCATCAAAATGAAGCTTGGTATTTCAAAAAATAACAATAAAACATTTGTCAAATCGGATGCGGGCTAGTGAAAAGTGAGTCACTTCATCAATTTTAAGTCGTTTTTTCGAAATATCGAAATAGATATAAACAATTTTGCTATAAAGAGTGTTGTTTTTGCAATTAACGAAGTTTCCTGTTTTTTCTCAATACGGACCTTGATTCTGATCTCGATTCTTATCTTATTTTGATGGGTAATATGAGTGGAATATTTTCACCAAGTATGGATACCTAGATTATAAAGAGTTGTTCAATAGTTATTACCAGATGAAAATCTTGCCAGAATCAAGATAGCGTCCTATATCTCAGTTATAAAAAACGGTAGACACATCAATGGGGGGTGATTTGAAATCATCAAAGTGTCCTCTATCTACAGATATCGTATGTCCATTCAAATCTGAAACACACATATATATTAATTTGTTTCTTGTTCATGATATATCCGAGAATATTTCTTTTCGATACTTCGATACCCGATCACGGGGTTCAAACTTGAACGATGGAATCTCGTTATTTTATAGACGTCTGATCGCAGATTCGTGATTGGGTTTTCTCAATTCAGTATTTCTTTCCACGTCCTGTATGATGAATATCGATTTGTCATACATGCAAGAGCACATAGCATGGCACTGAAAAATGGAATTATATTCCGAAGTTTCAACTTTCACTTAACATAGATCTTCGGATACTCTTTCTGTTGAAAAAAAAAATAGATCGGTTGAAAACTATAGATTTTATAAAAGTGCTTCGATCACCAGTGGGTTACACCAGTTACACTGTCTATACATTTCATTAAATAGGAGCACACATAACCAACTTCATGGCAGTCGCCCTACGCCCTTACAAACTGCCCAGGATAACGGGACTGGATCCCGCCCTTCCCGGATTCGTCACCCCCGTCAACGACGACAAGCTGGACAGATCTGACGCCATATTCGTGGACGTGTATCACACCAACGCCTTTATACAGGGGGTGGTCGAAAGGAGCGGCCACGTCGATTTCTACCTCAACGGGGGAGTGCTGCAGCCAGGATGCTGGGCAGAAAACAGTAAGTATCCCAAAAACGTTGCGAATAGACCGTTCCAGTCATTTTCACTGAAAAAATATCTGAACTGACCTACATTGATTTCACAGCAGGCGCGCTGTCGTGAATTTACGACAAGGCTTCTATCAATCAGTCGCGAGCATTGAGCTTCCAGCAATTCGAGCTTTAGGGGTCTATTCAGTAACTTATCGTTAGAATATGATATCGTTACCTCAACGATACATTGGCCAACGACATTTTGAACGACAAATTCTGGGAGCTTATTCAGTATCTATGTCGTTAGAGAAAAATCTCGGGACTTGATAATAAATGGATTTGGTGAATGTTGGTAACAGTATGTTGATGTTCTGTGGCTAAAAACGCACAAAACTCGTTAAAAGTTGAAGAGAAGGTGATGGTATGTTATTTTTATAGAATAATATGGTTAGTACTTTGACTTCCAGACAACAAAATTGTTGTTTTTTGTGTTGGAAATTTCATCAGCTGTCTGAGGGAACTTCACAACAAAATTATTGACAATAAAATCATCAACCCCATGGAGTGATCGACACATTGGGATGAGATGAACTGTTGAGTCTGTCTGAACCCACATCAGGTTTTTGATAACTTCATGTAGATAGATACCATGAAATGTAAAGCAGTAAAAACTGAAGAGATAAAAATCTATGTAGATAAGGTGAAGGACGGCGAAATAGCACTGTAATTGAGGCGCTCGACTAGTACACAGAACATCAAAAGGTCGCTAGATTCGAATCCCTGGCAGAGCAGAAATTTTGTTTACAAAAACGAGACAATTTCGATTTTCGTTGCCTCGGCAGGAGACGATTCCGCACGATTCGCTTTTGCGTTCCAATTGAAAGGTTCTGCTCTCAAGGTGGCGTATGGAGTTAGTAACAAAGCCCACATAGAACACACATAGGCTGAAGGATCTCTCGTAAGGTCGATGGCCAATTGGTACTATCTATAAGAAAATTCCCTATCTTTTTAATCTCACTTTCATGATAGGAGTATTATTGTATTTCTATCTGCTGGCAACACATGAATCCTGATATTTCATTACATTGATCTTGTGCTGCATCTTTTGCTCAATATTATTATAGTAGTTATTATTATAGTATTCTGAGTTGCTGTCTATATGTTGTTGTCTGAAATGTTATTGATGATATTACATGATATTACAATGTAATATACAAATGCAATCACTAGAAACAATGAAGAGTTTGATATTATCTGCGTGCCATCTCTTCTAGAACTAGCTCTACTAATGCCCGGTTATTCATTTTTCAATAATCAGCAATCAAATTATCTTTCCACATTCAGCACTCTCTCTCTGCTACTTTCTATATTATTCCCTATGTCTTCTTCACGTAACGACAGAAAAATGCCTCCAACGACACCTCAGCCAATGTCGTCTACAAACGATGAGTTTTGTCGTACAGGTAGGACAATCGTTAGTTACAGAATAACAAATTTCAGCATTACAGAATAGCCCCCTAAGTTTCTCTAGAAACTACCGATGTATCGGTTTGCGCAGAAGTGAATATTCTCTAATATTCAGAAGAACGTGAATTTCACACCCCCAGCCTGAGTGAATATATTCGTTGATATAGGAAAAATGTAAATTTCACGACACGCGCAATCACTACTTACTGAAGTATAAATCAATACAAAAATTCATGGTACTTTTTTGAGAAATCACGGATAATAATCTACGCTTCCGTTGTATTTTCCTAAAACGTTCCATGATTTCCTTCTGTCCTTCTGGGAAATCTAGAGGAATACAATTTTTGTAAAGAATCTCCGTGCCTTTTCTCATCATCATGATGAAATTCATGGTATTTTTTCGAGAAATCGATGTATTTTCCTATTCACAAACAATAATCTACGCTTCCGTTGTATTTCCCAAAAACGTCCCATGATTTCCAGGGTTCTTCGCCTGCAACCACCACCGAGCCCCGTTTTACTTCGCCGAGTCCATCAACACAAAAGAGGTCTACTGGGACTAGGCCTGCCAGTCATTTTGGCAGTCCTTCTGGGAAAACTAGAGGAATAATTTATTTTTCGAAATGTCCGTGCTTCTTATATCATCATCTCGATGAATTTCATAGTACTTTTCCGAGAAATAAATGTTCTTGCCTGTTCAAAGACATCAATTTTCTTTTACGTAGTATTCCACTAGGATATCCCATGATTTCCAGGGTTCGTCGCTTGCAACCATCACCGAGCACCGCTGTACTTCGCCGAGTCCATCAACACGGAGAAAGGCTTCTGGGGCTAGGTATGCCAGTCTTTCTGGCAGTCCTTTTGGAAAATCTAGAGGAATGCAATCTTTGTAACGAATCTCCGTTCCTTTTTTCATCATCGTGAGGGAATTCATGGTATTTTTTTGAGAAATCAATATTCTTGCCTATTCACATACAATAGTCTACGCTTCCGTTGTATTTCCCGAAAACGTCCCATGACTTCTTTGCAAAAAAGAGCATCATGAGTTTAAATCTGAGGAAACAATTATGTGAGTGTCTCGTATTGACAATTTTTCAGCATTGTAACATCGTTTATTTTCCCTGTTCAGAACAAAGAACCATTCACAGAATCCATAAAATTCAAAATACATGTTGTCGACCCATCTTCAATTCGAGAAAATATGATCATGTGTCCCATAAACTCAGGGAACTGCAGTGGTTAGATATGAGCGATTCCTCAAAATATTATTTCTTCAATTCCATTCCCGAGCTGCTTGAGGATTCAACTCCAGCTTATCTTAGAGAAAAACTAATTTTCAGACAAAATGTCCATAATATAAATGTTAGACATCAGCTAAAATTACCAATGCCTCATACTCAGTCTCTGTTTGAAAAAAGCTTCACATACAACTTGGTTATACTGTATAATGCATTACCAATAGAATTCAAACAATCACCATCGACGCAATTTCGTAAAAAAATTAGAGCAATTTGTTGAATCATACCTATGATCATACTTCACATGATTGTGAGACAATAAGTGAAAATGTAGATGTCAAGCTAGATTTAGCTTTTTAGGATTAGTATTAGGATTGGGTTATAAGTCGAGCACAGGTTAAGTGTAAGAATAACTTCCTAGCTAAACTTCGCCTGATGCACATACCACCTATGCCTCATGTTATTATGTAATATTCTTCAGAGGAAATAAAGACGGATTATTATCATTATTACTATTATTATTATTTTTTCCAGGGTTCTTCGCCTGCAACCACCACCGAGCACCGCTGTACTTCGCCGAGTCCATAAATACGGAGAAGGGCTTCTGGGGCTGGGCCTGTCCGTCCTTCTGGCAGTTCGTGACGGGCGGCTGTCCCCCGCACGAGCCCCAGATCCTGATGGGCGATCGGGTGGACCCCACCGCCAGTGGCATGTACCTGGTCATCACCGAGTCGGTCCCACCTTATGCAGTCGGCAGGTGGGTGTACTTTCCTAGAAAACTACTTCTGGTCATAAACACTGGGCATATTTTGCTAGGAATGTTTCTTCTTGTTGAGATCCCATATTTAGTGTTAGGAGCACTGAGTTCCAAGAGCAATACATTGCTGATTTTTTCATCTGCTAGCTCCAAATACGAATGATTGTTGATAGGATCTACTTGTTTCCATGTCTAAATTGCCTGGGAACAGCAACAATTACTCATTGTTCTGCGAAAAAAATGTTCTTATCCATCATCACCCAAACTGATTTCGCTATCTGTATACTGAAACTATTTTTTCGGTGTAGGATCAGCCATACCTCGAACTTTTTAGATCTATTGTGTCGTCCCTTGACTAGCCTTTCTTTCTTTATGAGACTCCTTAGGCTAGGTTTGAGATCCCTTGTCTAGTGGACTCCTCTTTCCTCCTGTTTTTGACTCGATTCCTTATTCCATCTCTTGAAGCGCACGAAAACAAATGTCTATAATATCCGACCTTATGCAGTTGAAAGGTAGGTATACTTTTCTAGAGATCAAGGTATGTTCGCTGTGCCTCCATCAACTACAATATTGTGTAGTTAATGGAGATTGTGTAGCATTGATACTGTTCGATGCAATTTGGTGTATACTCACCTCTATACTCAAACTGTGTTTATTGTCAATGTATTGTTGCACAATAATTGGATATAATTTATACTAGAGTCTAGCCATAGCACCAGTGCGAGAATATTGCGCCTGGTGCGCAGGTCGCTGGGCGCGAGAAACAGAAAATTTCGTTGCTTGCTCGCTCGCTCGCCGAGCGCGAGAAGCGAGGCGAGAAGGGTTGCGGCCGTGCGGCGCGGGACAAAATATTGGAGCGAAACAATAAAGATCATCATTGGTAAAAGAATACCCAATACCCTTGATTGGCGGCGAATCATGTATCACGGGAAAGAGCTTTGTTGGTTGCCATTGGAACTGTTTCCAGAATATGTACTCATTTATCGTTTGACCTCCAAGTCTAGCGTTTCACACTTTAAAAATGCAATCGATCTCAACACTTAGTAGCATACAACCATTATAATAATGGGTTTGGTAAGGGGAACACTTTGTATATCATTACATGAATAATAACATCAATTTCATAATTTGATACGATTCTGTATATTCTCAGAATATTCGAAAAGAATATTCTTGTGCATCTATGTCAAATTGAATGTTCATAGAATATTCGTTGCAGGATGAAAATATTTTATGATCATTTTAAGGACATTATGTTAGAATATTCTGAAATAAGTATATTTGAACATTGTCATTCTAGAATATTCCATTTCAGAAGCTCATTGGAACATATTTTCAGAATATCATTAGTATATTCGCAAAGTATTCCATGAATGTTCACAATATTCTGAAAATATTATTTAATGAACATTCTGGAATATTATATCCCAGGAGCTTCTAGGAATGTACTTTCATGTAATACTATCAGAATATTCGCATGGAACATTCCATAAATATTCGCAACATACTGAGAACTTTCTATGCATATTCTTCAGAATATTATTCTAGAAGATGACATTTTCGCAGCTTGTAAGAATATTCTGAGAATATTCGTGCTATCTGGGGATATATATATGTAATAAGTATGAACAGTACAGTGTTAATTCAATTTGAATAAATTGATTTGAGGTGTGTCACGATTCTAGGGATCACCCTGTAACATGGTATCAACTAGGAAAGCAGTTGTCTAATGTATCATTTCACAACAATGACTTATTTGTTTTTGTTTCGCTGCAATTTCTCGCGCCCAGCGAGCAGCGAGCGACGCGCAATATCATTTCAAAATGACTTATTTATTTTTGTTTCGCTGCAATTTCTCGCGCCCAGCGACCTGCGCACCAGGCGCAATATTCTCGCACTGGTGCTATGGCTAGACTCTAGTATAATTTATAACCGAAATAAAGTGCAGATGGGTTCACAATTAAACTAACGTGAACATCACTCATAATCACGAATAATGTAAACGGACAAGAGACATACTAATTAGTATTTGCACATGTCTGTGATAGCCGGTTAGCTTTTATTCAAGGTACCGAAACGAATAATATTATCCGTCGCTGTCGGCGGTGCAGTTATGGGAAACACCCTGTATAATATTGAAATTTTTGCTTGATTTGAACAGGTACGAGGGGTCCAACGTGGAAATCTACTTCAAGTCCAATCAAGACAGGCTGGCGATTCTGAAAAACTACAAGGAAGAGGTGTCCAAGTTTTTCGACGTGGACGATTTGATAGACAGGGTCCACGGCAACGAATCTGTCCAAGCAGAAGTGAATTTGGAACTCGCAGATGACACCTTTCAATTGGCGAACGATGATCTAGTGTGAATTTAAAATTTTTAATCAATGATAATAAAGAAAAATAAATCAATTTATTTATTGATTTGGCCGTTACTTGATGGAAACTCATAGTAGATTCAAATATCTTCACAAGTGCTAAGATTTTTCATAATCCTGAAAAATACATGTTTCACTTCGACAGAAGCTTGGATTAGTTCACCCAACTTACTTAAACAGATAGTTCATCGAATCATTACATACATATTCATAATAATATTTTTTTTACTCGTGTATTACAATACGCGAATATCGGCTATCTATGTATTGACATTGTTTATTTTGACATTTTCAACACGGATTTTCATTATGATACAGATTTTGACCAATGAGGGCACGTAGTTTTCATTATGAAACGAATTTTTGGTCAATAGAAACACATATTTGGAAATAATCAAGTAGGTCTACGTTCTCATCTCACTTGCTTGAGTTTTTTGACAATCAATTTCAGTTGACGATCAATTTCACCGCGTCGAAAGTACAGGCAATTTCATTATTTATATTGGTCGTAGAAAAAATAGTGAGTAATCCATGTAACGATCATGCTCTGGTTATTAAGACATGATCGTTGCATAACATTTTTTACATTTGCGTCAGTATTCTTATAGGGTAGCGTAAATTATATCTTAGCATTCCGAAAATATTATACAAATAATTGCTCGTCTGGAAACGCTTGTCTGCGTCCATAACATAGACTTACATCACTTGCAAACATGGAGGAGGGGTGAGTAAGATAAGTGATGAGCCCTTGTCGTGTGTAATTCAGTATTGAAGTGTTTCTTCCATCAAAAATTAATGAAGGGTTCGGTTTTCTATGGTGAGATTCCGCTGGAGACGAAGGTCGGATGAGAGTCAATGGCCTGTAGGTGGTTGTACGTTAACTATTGGCGAACTTCTTGGCCTAGGTCGGAAAAATTATACGTCCTCAAAGAAAGAGCGTCCGGGAATCGCGTACTTCCCAGACGGTTGCCAAAAGAGATTTTTTGCTGTCATGATGACAAGATCACTGCGGCTCATGGAATTTTGTATGCATGAATCAAATTGTCTGCATAATAAAATTCAAAAACACGCCATGATGGGATCAACGAGTATAGTATAGTTTTTTTTTCAATCATACAGCGATCGCACAGAATTACTTCATTGTGGTGGTCGAGAGAATTCGTTTCGTGAATGACTTTTAGACTATCAAAAATATTCCAGGGCCTTCGATTTTAGATTTTACCCGCATTTTGTTGCTACTCTTATATCTTATTTTACCGTGAAAATTGATTTCAAGCGTATTTGCCGTGTATTCTTCAATTGCAAACAAATGGTACGGGTACACAGTGAAAAATTTTCGGGTGTTATTTCAATAGAGTGGATATCAGAAATATCTTCGATTGAATCAACACTTGATCAGCAATATCATATCAATATTATCAGAAATTTGATAATACCGTGTAAAGTGGTTTCAATTCACACTCAACGGACGATTTCGTGGAAATAATGCGTTAATAGCTACCAATTTATATATCAATAGAGCAAAGGTATCCATTACCCTCCACGTGTAAAGGCATTGAACACACATGAGAGGAAATGCAGCTTTGCTCCCAAGATATATATGATTTTATCCACGAACGCATATATTTGAGAGCGTCGATCTTAAAATTGTGCTGCAAGTGGTCTATCTCTCGAGTGTCGATCCAAATTAATGTGTTACATGATCTAAGATTACAAAAGTGTAATATGCGCCCACAGAGTATGCAATGGACAACTACTGACAGTATATTTGAATATGAACAAAAATCAATTCAACACTCATACTGAATTTGTTTATTGTGTAATTGGATTTTATTTAAAGTTTCAACATTCGATTGAGTGAGTTTGGAAAATGAGGAAGTGTATGAGTGTATTGGAGTTTGGAAATGAAATTGTTATTTGTTTTCAAGTAGTGGAAGAGACACTGATTAGGTACTTGGGTAGCACATATCTCATACGTATATCTCCACCAAGGAAGCAAGCTGAAGAAAATTTATTTTACCTCCCACAGTAAAATTCTGTTTACTTCCGTGAGAGTAGATTGACACACGGAAAAAAAACTTTAATAACAGCTAGTGAAATTTGCATACTACCAAGTAAAAATTTGCATACTATATGGGACAAGTACTCGCCTCATCAGCCACAAGAAAAATGATATTTCTGAATCTGATCACTTGTTGTTATTAATGTGATTTCAGGAACACATGTAACCTACTGATATTAAACGCTTTATTAGGGACAGAATATTTGTTTTATTGGCCTAAGTGTACATTTTACTTGCAGTTATACAACGAAATCATTGGATAGGTGGTCAGTTCGATAAGTATAGGTGACTTGTTTCACTTGGCCTCATAGAATACCTCACTTGTGGGTAGTGTACTTTCCACTTGGAGTTATGCAACGACATTATTGGCTAGGTGCTTATTTTAATAACTACAATCATCTTGATTCACTTGGCCTCATCTATTATGACTCACTTGTGGGTAGTTCATCATGTCTCACCTTGGATAGCTTTCATCCCATCTTTGTTATCGGGATACACCAGACTCAGTCGAACTTTCTTCCTGTCTTCACTCCTAAGTCACTTGGCATCATTCAAACAAGGATCATTTGATTCATTTGTAATGTATCATGCCTTATTTTCTTACAATACATTTTTATTTCACAAATGAACAGTTTTATTTAAGAACTCATCACTATGAATAACGTCATTTCTACACAATGATGAACTTTTAAGTAAATAACAGATCGATAAAAAGTAAAACAGCACTATTGGTTGTCTATAACTCTCGGCCGCCCCCAAAAGGGATTCTGAATGGCACCTCCTATACCTCTCGTGGTGATGAGTCATACTTCCTCATCATAATATGATGAATACAACACCAAAAATTATTTTTCGATTTACCACGTGTACCAAATCCTCAAACTGAACATACTCTCACGAAGTCACGACGAAACTGACGCTAGTGACGCTGATGGATTCTGATCAATTCGGATATACAACACGAGAGGGCGACGATTATTCCCGATTACTGGGCAGGTGAACATGTTGTATTACCGTAGGTATATTGGGTTGTACCGCAGATAAACAATTGTATTGTGCTTGTAACACGAGTTTCTGTAGTTATTATTTCCTTTTCAGAAACTCGAAGTTAATAAAGTCTAAAATACATCAGAGCTTATAAAATGTTTTCCTGTGGCTATACAAAGTGAATTATCTAAGATGAAAACTATTTATTTTGCTATTGGTGGATGAAATTATAGCTACAAGTTCAGGCGTTCAGAATTATCATTTTACTAGAGGCTGAATAAAATTGTTTCTGGAATAGGTATTATTTTTCTTATCCCGATACAAAACAAGTCAAGAAAACATTTTACTTGGACCATTTTTTTCCGTGCAGGTTTCTGTCCTTAAATGCGGGAGCGAACGCTTGTTTTCGATGCAGTGAGTAGATGAATGAAGTTTCAGTTGATTCATCAATTATATATGATGATTTCGAGATAGCGAAGCTATATATAGTAATTGTATCGAACCAGATCGAAGCATAAAATTGAATATCAAAGTACACTGACAAAACTCGGCCAAGTAAATTGTTTTCTTGAAAAAAAGTCGATTGTGACAAGAACATTTTCACCAACGGTAGGAAAATATGGTACTTGCAGTAGGCAAAACTATATTTCTGGAACGAAGTTTCTGCTGTAAGTGATCAGAACACTTGTTGGTATCAACCAAGTCGATATGTACTTAGAGTTCGCTAATTCTAAGTGAACACTAAACTAGTGCTAGGTTAACGAATACTCACTATCATTGAATTATTTTTCTGACATAAGATCACTTGCTCTGAGCGAACTCATCAATGAAGACAATCTATCAAGTCGATTGTTGCAGGTGACAGCTCACCTGTAGTTATAGATCTCTTTTCCGTTCGGACATCTTCGATATTATTCGAGTACCCACGCCCAACGCGATCACTGTCCAGTGTCCACGAGTCCACGGCGTCATTTCGATCTTACACAGAGAAAAAACTTTAATAATGGTTATTAAACATTTAATAGTCACAGTTGAAAACTTGAATACTATATGGGACAGATATACAGTATGATAGTGGTAGATAAAATATTTTACCTGAATTGGTATACCTGCAACAGACGCTCAATTATATAGTTCATTGATCGTTAATGAATGAATATATTTGAAATCAACTCAGGATTATTGAAGTGTTGAATAACATTGATTAGACAGTTTAATTACCATTGAACATTAAGTAATTCCCTTTGAAACATTGCTATATTATCTTACAGACTTCTTCACCTGTTGTAGGTTCACACTTCGATTATAGTTATTCAATAGTTTAATAAATTTTCAATACTTGTAACGGTTCACTTTGTGACCCTTATTCGTACCAACTCACCACAACTTTATTTACACGTAATTTGTCGGGATGCAGTGTATTCGACATCACAATCGCCGAGAATCATTTCGGAAATCACTCTGTAACACGACACAGCAAATATTCAATAAATAATAAACCAGTCCTGAACGTTCACTCCGCCTGTTTGCTCGCTATTATTATTCCTGCGGTAAGGTTTCGTTCGATGATGTGCTTTCATGTTTATATTAGTCCTAGTATTCCTCAGGGATAAATAAACAAATAATATCTTGTGTCAAAATATTTTCCTTTTGAGGTTACTATATGCTTCTTTCCATTTTTCTGTCAGATTTGTTTTCTGTCTTCGGTAGGTACTTAATTTCGCTAGTACTACGATTAATTTAACATTGCCTTTACCGAACTCTACAAAGTAAATATTGTCGGACTACTTCACACCACACTCAACGGCCTTGATGGGTTCTTGCTGTTGCAATGTTCTGTGAACGAGCGTAGTAAGGTGTGATTTGGTCTTGAAAATATTCAAGAAGACAGAATTGTTTCTCGCTCGAATCCAATACCTCGCTCTCTCTCTCGAATGGCTCTGAGCTGAAAGGCTGCACGAGATTCCGCTTCAGAGAATT